TGTGGAAGACGCATTCATAAGCATTATGAGAGCTATAAAAAGCACGCTTCTGTATTTTGTGATTCAAATAAAAGTTAAGCACCACCAAATTCAAAATAAAACTTGGCAAATTGTCAAGTCCTGAACTCTGTGCATTTGCATGAAGGTAATAGCATGCATCTTTCATGCATTTGATGTTCAAAAGGCTTTTTTTCATAAACCATGCTTAATTGCACATGTTGAATGTTAGCAGTCCAGACGCCCCTCTGAAAACTTTGGGTCAGATATTGACTGTTTCATTCAACTAACGTTCAGACTTCTGGGACAGTTTTTGCAAATACAGGCCTCCTTGCCATCTTTAAAGGTCAATAGACCGGTACTTTAAATAACAATAAATGTGATGAATTTAATAAAGAGCAAAGTAAAGACCAAATTTTTTTCAAACTGTTCTTGTATACCAGGTATATCCCAGCTATATTTCCAAGAGTTGGGCAATATTATTTGATGTAATTAATTTAGTCCTGTGGTGAAGTGGAACTTGTTTTAAAGATTGAGTGGTGCTTAACTTTTGCCCAGGTGTATACGTAATAACTATGTATGTTTGAGACCTGATCAATCTAAATGAAATTAACACCTCCTGATGCATGTCAAATTAAAAATGAATTATGGTGCTAATAACCGGCAGTGTGTGAAAGTGATATCCCAAGTTATATTCATGCCATCTATCACTCAGTGTGTGTGGTCTAAGGCAGGACTCCGCTCTTCTTCTTCTGTTATTTCCACTGGCTTTATGTTGATGCACTCCCATTGCAATGAAATACAACGAAATCAAATAATGAACATGATCTTTTTATGCATGCAATACTAAAAAAGAACCATACATAAAATAGCTCTTAAGTGACTTAACACATAAATTTTACGAGGAATTTACTCTTTTATGTTTATGAGTTATAGCATTATAATAAAATAACTACTTTTGTTAGAACCAAAACAATCTAAATAAACAGAACAAATATGATACTAAAACATAGAACGCAATGGAATAATAACAATTGCCAAAAGATATTTATATATTGTATGAAATGATTATGTTTTTCCGAAGGAAACGGCTAACGTGCAGGCAAACCCTGCTCTTTTGTAAACTTTGTTTAAATATGTACTTTTTTTAGACCAGGGGTGTCCAATCTTATCCATGAAGGGCCAGTGTGGGTACAGGTTTTTGTTTTAGCCCAGTGCTGCAACACCTGATTCCACTAATTAACTGATCAGGGGATTTAATCAGGACCTTGATGAGTAGAATCAGGAGTGTTAGTGCTGGGCTGTGACAAAATCCAGCACCCACACCGGCCCTTTGTGGATTAGATTGGACGCCCCTGTTTTAGACAGTCCAATTTTGAGGGACTGGGTCCTGCAGCTAAATGAGGCTACAGTCAGGCCTAAGTATGAAGCTGCTTTGTGATCAGTAAAAAGAAAAAAAACATAATTTGCATAAAATCAAATTGAAGTGAATTGCGTTACATCATCACCACCTTTACGGCTGCCAATTATATGCCAGTCAGTCATCGGTCTGGGCGTTTGTGCATCTACGGCTGACTGACCGTGAACCCACACACAATCGCTTCCGTTGGAATATTCTCACTCGATGAAAGGAAAAACGTTTTCCCAAAATCAGCGTAATGGGAGCTGAGCAAGTACTACTGAGCACTCCTGCTCTGCACAGTCAGCTCCCTGTGCTGCAATAAAACGTACTAACGGCAGCGTGACGGTCCAGGGCCTTTTTAACTGTACACTGCCCGGGCATCGCGGCTTGATTATCTTTAATATTAAAAAAAACTGGAGGGAGTTTCCTGAACAACAAGGGCATTCAGTGAACCAGCTTTTAAAGCAGAAGCAGTGACTGATCAGCAGGTAGGACAAACCTTTGAATGAAAAGGACCTCAAAACCTTTACGATTCCTGGGGTTTGGATATTTCTGACAGTCTGTGATTCTTCTTTCCAGACCCCGTAGACAACCTGTATTGACTCCATTCCAAGAATAATATGCGGAGTCATATGGAGGACAAAACAGTCAAATAATTCTTTGTTTTTTTTTTTTTTAAATTTTAAAACATTTTAAACATTTTAATTTTAAAACATCCTTTTTTTTTGGTCCCACCCATGGGCCGAGTCAATCTTGCAACACTGTAAAAAAGGTCGCTTTTTGGCTTCCTCTCCCAGCCGGTGGAGTTAACTAGGTGAAGCTGAGAGGCAGTTGACTTAAGGACAGATGAGGTATTGCACAGTTGAAGAGGTTCAAACGCAGATCCTGGATGCAGTTCTGACATCTGTCAGATGGAAGCTGAGGACATCCCTGGCTGGTTGGTGATTTTTCCCGTTAACTAATCGGCTCTTTGATTTTTGACTTGCGCTTTGAGGACAGAACCATCAAATCTAATTGAGCAGCGACGTGCTCTGTCAGTTTTCCAGAAAGCTCTGAGAAACCCCCCTCTAAACTTTCAGAAGCCAAATGAGGCTGATGACCTGAAGGCCATGCAGGCGCTCTCCAGAACAGCCAGTGAGGGGCGGCTCTGATTTATGATGGAAGTCAAAGCAAATTGTACAAACAGAGCAATAGCTTTTTCTTATACCTCGAGAATGCTAAGCGCTAACACAAACATTACTGAATACTCTTAATCCATAATGACTTACAGCTTCCCAATCATCTGTCTTACGGCGCCGTTCAATAGCATACTAGCGCTCCAACAGGTCCTAATGAGAGCAAATCTTCTTTATTATCCCTCTTCAGCATCACATGGCCCCCTGCTTAGACCAAACATAACCAAAAAGAGAGAGCAGTGTTTATACACGCCGTGTGGCATATGGTATAGAGCGTGCTGGGGTCCTGTGGCGCACTTTCACTGTAGATTAGGCAGAACGCGTGCGGTGAGCTCGCTCTGTTCAACAATGCGATCCGACACCAGGGCCCATTAATATTAATTCAGCGGTTTTTGGAGTTCGGCCATCTTTGGAATGCTTTCTTTAATATTGTCACAAAACAACTCTAGTTTTTATTGGCTGAAGGTTCACTGCTTTTGACTGTCAGGAAGGCTAAAAAAGGACAGAAAAATGTTTTGAGGGTAAAAAAAACACTTTCATGGTTCAGCTCTGTGTGAATATGTGCGTTTGTGTGTATGTGTGTGCGCGCGTGTTTGTGTATGTGTGTGTGTGTGTGTGCGTGCGCGCGTGCGTATGCCTGTCTATGTGTATGCGTGTGCACTCAGTTTGCATCATTATTATAACTGAATGAATGTGGCTGTAGGAACACTAACTGCCCCTCCATGGTCAGTCTTACTGGCTGTGGTGGGGTAAATTACAGGCTCTGTGGAGAGTACAGTGTTATTGCTTCTGTCTGTCAACAGCCCATGAGTCCAGAGGCTAAAACTCAGCTTATTTTTCACCACACCACAAAACCTGTTATATATCAAGCAATGAAGAATTCGTGTTTGGGCCATGAATTCAAAGGCATCTGGATACAGGCTCCAAAAATCATGGCTCCAAACCCAACAGACCATGTGATTCCATAGAACCCAGAAGCCCCGTGATCACACAGAAGAACCCTGTATAGTTCAAGGGTCCTATATCAGGCAAAATAATTCCTTGTCTGGGAGCTTTCACACAGTGCACCTAAGATAGACAGATTCATAGAGAGGTAAAAAGGGTTTGTACAGAGATGAGCCAAAGAATCCTTTTTTTTTCAGTGTGGAGAGAACTTTTTGTAAACAAACATGCATCAAGTACTCCAGCTGGGGCTTGGCCATAACATGCAATGATCAAAGTTTCCATTAAGTCTTTCATACAAGCTCCACATTCAGGTCATCTGTTTCCATCAAGAAATCAGCTGCATCACTGGATTACAAAAAAAAAAAAAAAAAAAAAATCTGGGGACTAATGAAAGATACAGTCAGAAGGTACTAATAAAATGCTTTGACTATTTGAAAGCTGTTAAATCTTCATAACAGCTGCAAGTGCCCAAGAATTTGCAGTAACACACAGAACAGCATAAAGCGCCATGTTGTTATAGTCATACTCGATAATTTGCTCAGTTCTGGAACATCACAGTGTAATGTCATACTTGAATGCGTACTAGAAAATACAGAGGTAGACTTCTGGTGGCTTACTAAAAAGAATATTCTGAATAAATTATTTTGGACTGACGCCCAATCTGATGCCCATCAATGACAACACGGCTTGTTGGCAACTTGGAGCTCAGTAAAACTACCTGAAGTCATGATGGCTCTGAAGTGCCGCAATTACAGGGGCCACAACTGAGTCAAGTCAATTCCCTGTAATGACAGACTGTCTAACAGTGTCATTCCTGGACATGAGATTAATTAGGCCTTCAACTGCCATAAACCGGTTATACTTAGACCCTAATCGCTGGGCAAACTGCATTATGAGGGGCACTGTGATGTTCAAAGGGGCCATTAGGTGCTCTTAGACCTAACCAATCAAGCCCAGAGGACAAAATGTAACGCTGTAAGATTCTGTCATCACTGCATGACCATAATTTGTACTTGATTACTGGGAGCTCGCAAAAAGGCATTCCCAACCTCTCCAGGGTTGAATGGGGCCGTATTTTCCCAGACCGTCACGCCCACATGTGTCCCTTCGTCTGGCATGATCCTGTGACACTGACGCAACACTTTGTTTTGTGTCTGGAACCTGCGAATGGATTTAACTGTATACGAACAAAACCCAGATGGCCCACTACATTCAGTTGAATCTAGCGGTATGCAATTGATGAACACTGCGCAATCCCGTACGGCCACTTGTACTGAGATGACAAGCCATTTTAATGACAACAGAGGAAACGATAGCTCTTTGTAGAAAATGATATATGAAATAGAAGATATATACAATCAGCAGAAATGATAGTTTTATTGGCTTATTTTGCAACAAAATAAATAAATAAATAAAAATAAAATAAATATGATTGTTCTATATAGAGTCACTTATCAGAATAATTTTTACTCAAATAGGGCGGCACGGTGGCATAGTGGTTAGCACTGTTGCCTCACAGCAAGTAGGTCATGGGTTCAATTCCAGCCTGGGGCCTTTCTTTGTGGAGTTTTCATGTTCTCCCCGTGTTCGCATGTGTTACCTCTGGGTACTCTGGTTTCCCCCACCCACAAAAACATGCATCATAGGAACACTCCAACCAGTACCCCTGACCAAGGAACTGGCTTTTAAACTGGAGTTGGTCCCCGGGCGCTGCTCTGTGTCATGATTCTGGTTTTGTGTTCATGATTTTGTCTTTTATTTATTCTTTTTGGTTATTGTATACGCAGGTTTTAGTTCATTCCATTTCTCAGTTCCATTGCACTTGTCTCCCCTGTCTTGTGATCTAGTTGGATCAGTCCGTCTTCCCGGTCTGTGTGCTCACTTACTTCGGGTGATTTAAATGTATTCTGGTGTTTAACGTATTCCTTCGATTCTCGTTTACTTCCTTCGCCTTACTGTTCTGATTACTAACAAAACAAGAAAAAAGCGAGCAAAGCTCACGTACCCCCGCTCCCCATTTGTCGCTCAATGAATGTCAATAGCAAATAACGCTTCTATGGAAATGTAATATGCAGTCATATTCAAATCAAGTACCAAAAAGGTCCATTTAGTGTACAAACTTGTCTCCATTGATGCCTCCCTGCCGATTTTCGTACTAAGTTGAATTAAGATTCAAGGGCAATAACTCCGTAAAAAATACAGTTTCGTAACTCGGCTTCGAAACTCGTTCGTGAGTATCGTCAGGAGTACCCACAAGCAAAATGTCATTCATCTAGGTGTAGTAATTTCCGAGTAAACTTGTTCCCATTGACGCGTCCCAGCCAATTTTCGCACTAAGTCGAATGAAAGATTCAAGGGCAATAACTCCGTAAAAAATAAAGTTTCGAACTGGGTTTCCTAACTCATTCAAGAGTATCGTCAGGAGTACCTACAAACAAAATTTCATTCATCTAGGTGTAATAGTTTCCGAGAAAATTTGTCCCCATTGATGCATCCCGCGGATTTTTGCACTAAGTCGAATCAAAAGATTCAAGGGCAATAACTCCGTAAAAAAATAAAGTTTCGAACTGGGTTTCGAACTCGTTCAAGAGCAATCGTCAGGAGTACCTACAAACAAAATTTCATTCATCTAGGTGTAATAGTTTCCGAGAAAATTTGTCCCCATTGATGCATCCCGCGGATTTTTGCACTAAGTCGAATCAAAGATTCAAGGGCAATAACTCCGTAAAAAATAAAGTTTCGAACTGGGTTTCGAACTCGTTCAAGAGTATCGTCAGGAGTACCTACAAACAAAATTTCATTTATCTAGGTGTAATAGTTTCCGAGAAAATTTGTCCCCATTGATGCATCCCGGCGGATTTTTGCACTAAGTCGAATCAAAGATTCAAGGGCAATAACTCCGTAAAAAAAAATGAAGTTTCGAACTGGGTTTCGAACTCGCTCAAGAGTATCGTCAGGAGTACCTACAAACAAAATTTCATTCATCTAGGTGTAGTAGTTTCCGAGAAAACTTGTCCCCATTGTCCACTATAGAATAAAGTACAAAATGTGACGTTTCCATGGAAACGTCAGAAAATTGACATCCCAGAAAGCTGAAAATGACTGGATGCGTAGTTTGTGACATGGTTCACGATTGTACAAAGTTTGGTCGAAATATTTCCAACGGTTTTTGAGATATGACCCCGGACGGAAGGACGGACGGACGGACGGGCGGGCCACTATATACCCCCGCTTACTTCGTAGCGGGGGTACAATAACTTTAGTAGACTATGATACAAAATACAAACACAACTAATCCATGTATATAGATTACTAACTTACCAATGAGCACTCTAGTTTAATCTGTAAAGTTGCACCACTACTAATTAATACTAATTCCCTCTCAGCAATCGCCCTGTTCTAGTCTCCGCCTCTTGCTCAGCTTTAACTAGCTCCCCCTGCGTTTCTGCGAGATCTCTCGCAAGTGTTTAATCACTTTCCTGCACTCGTTCTCTGTGCACTTAGAACTCCTTGACCGGAGCTGTTTAAATGTCATAGGCTGTCTGTGTGATTCCCGTCCGTGTCTTGGCTTTCGCCAATTTTCGTGGTTAGGGTTCCCCTCATGTGATTCTCCCGATGTAATTAGTCTAATCCAGCTCACCTGTTCCCTGCATAGCATGTGACTTTCCTCCCGTCTATTTAAGCAGTCTTTTCACCGCCAGCTCCTTGTCAGAACGTTGATCAATATTTCATTGTGCAGAGCGCCTTGTATGCCTTTGAGTATTGCTTTTCTTCTACTGGTTTGTCCGACTACGATTTTTGCCTTTGCCCTTTTGTACTGTTTTGTCTTTTTGGATTTTGACCCTTTTTGTATGACCACGAGTTCTGTGTTTGGATGCCCTGTGTATGACCCTTGGATTTGTTCACCGACTACGACTTTTTTTGCTTACCGTTTTGTACCTTTTGCTCATCTGTCTTCCTGGTTCTGACCCCTGCCTGTCCAGTCGACTCTGTTTTTGGATTTCGTATTGTGGCTTGGCAATTATTGTGTTTTTTGGCTTTGACTCGGACCCCATTAAAGGCATACGTTTTTTGGATTTCTGTCTCTTGCGAGTGGTTCCTGAACTGTACCTCACACTCTGTGGCTGCCCACTGCTCCTAACTATAGGATGGGTCAAATGCAGAGGACAAATCACCCCACAGGGTTCAATAAAGTGTATCTTATCTTAAATAAAGGGTATCTTATCAGGCCCATATTACTAGGCCCATGGTCTTAGTCAGGCGCATATTACTAGGCCCATGGTCTTTAAACCATGACATAAAGTGAATAATGCAAACTGTGACTTGTTTTTTACTTATTCACTGAAGTTGTGACTCTTGCAAATCATCTCAACCCAAAAACTAAGCCCCTCCTTTCTTTTGTTAACATTTAATCAGCAATGGTCTGGTAACATCAATGTATACAGTACCTAAAGGTAAATAGAAGAAAATGGTGCATATCGATGAAAGAAAAGTCTAATCATGCAGTAAATACATCCCAAAATCCATAGATTTCATACTGGTTTTTAAGAAAGGCATTGTGAACAGAAACTTGAAGTTGCTTCCAAATTTTTGACCTGTATTGGCCTTGCTTCCAAACTTCTGGCTTGTAGTGTCCGTCATTTGGTAAAGCGGGTCAGGAGACGGAGAAAATGGTGGCCGTATAGTAGTTTATGAGTGTATCTGAATTCTCATTTACCTATGAATGCAAAGAATTTGATTTGACACCAACAACTCAACTGTCGATGTAGTACGTACAATGTATATGTATCAGCAGTGTATGCTCTAAATCAGAAATACTACACGGCCTCCATCTCACCCAACTTCTGACCCAATTTACCTGTAGCATAACCTTATCTTCCCCCAAAGATTTATAGACACAACTTTACCTCTTAAGTGGTGGCATTTACAGTTGCAATCAAAATGATTCAACCCCCGTTGTAAATCAGGTTTACTGGCAAACTTTACGAACTTTCAGCTATTTGCAATGAACAAATCAAACAAGAACAATTTAAATAGCTCAACACAACAAATATTAAAAGTAGCTTCTCCAAATTCAACACAAAATGCCACTTTTAATGACTACTGCAGGCTCAAAATTATTCAACCCCTTCATGACAAGCATCTTTAATAATCAGTAGAGCACCCTTTTGCCGCTATGACCTGCTCGAAATGTGATGCATAGGCAGACACCAGCTTTTGGCAGCATTCCCAAGGAATCTTAGCCCAGTCCTCACGGACAATGGCCTCCGGTTCACTAATATTCTAAGGTCTGCATGCTGCAACTGTCTTCTTCAAATTTTATCAGAGATTTTTTATGGGGTTCAAGTGAGGCGACTGTGATGGGCACTCTAGAATCTTCCCAGACTTCTTCTGAAACCAAGCCTTGGTGGATGTTGAGGTATGCTTAGGATCATTGTCCTATTGGAAGGTCCAATGATGCCCAAGCGTCAGCTTCCCTACAGATGGAATGACATTTTCTCCTTGGATATCCTGGTACTTGACTGAATCCATCTCGCCCTCCACACTTTGCGGATTTCCAGTGCCAGAGGAAGCAAGGCAGCCGCAGAGCATCAAAAAGCCCCCACAATTCTTCACTGTAGGCAGGGTGTACTTTTTAGCATATGCTTCTTTGTTCCTCCTGCAGACATACCACTGATTCATAAGCCCGAAATATTCCAGTTTTGTTTCTTCAATCCACAGAACAGTATCCCAAAACTTCTGTGGCTAATTCATATGGTTTTGAGCATATTGGAGCTTGTGCTTTTGGATCAGTTGTGGTGTATGTCTTGGAGACCTTCAATGTTTAGTATGCACCCTTCTGTGCAAACTGAAACCTCAGTGCCTCCCGCCTCCAAGTCTTGCTGCGGGTCTCCTGCAGTCACTCAACGGTTTTTGACCACCCATCTCCTCAGGAATCTGGAGACAGCCATTGATAGCTTCCTCTTTCTGCCATATCCTGGTACTGTATCCACTCTTCCTTTAACTCTGAACTTGCAAACTATGCTTCCAACTGTATCTCTATGAACATTCAGTGCCTGTACTAGCTTTTTGCGTCCTTTTCCCTCTTTGTGCCAGGCAATGATTCCCTCTATTAGCTTTTTGGACAATTCTCTTGCCAGCCATATGTCTAATATACAATCAAATGCCACTGTCAACAAACCCCTAGCGAGTGCAAGTATTTGATGTATTCTATCTCAAGCAAACCTGATGCAACTAATTAGGCTCTCGATTAGGTATGCTTGAGACAACACCTGATTTGCAAATACGCTGTAATGACGGATTCTATTCGGGGGGTTGAATAATTTTGAGACTGCAGTAGTCATTAAAAGTGGCATTTTGTGCTAAAATTGGAGAAACCACTTGTAATATTAGTTGTGTTGAGCTATTTAAAATGTTCTTGTTTAATCTGTTTATCACAAACGGCTGAAAGTTTATAAATTTTGCCAGTAAACCCAATTTGCAATGGAGGTTGAATAATTTTGATGGCAACTGTACATGTATTTTTAAAATAATTCAGGCTAATATAGCGTTTC